AAGAATGCAGGGTTGTTGGTTGTTCCTAGAGTCTCTAAAAGTACAATGGGAGCCAGAGCCTTTTCTTATCAAGCTCCACATTTGTGGAATCAGCTTCCAGTTTGTGTTCGGGCGGCAGACACCCTATCCGTTTTTAAGAGTGCACTTAAGACCTTCCTTTTTGATAAAGCTTATAGTTAGGGCTGATTAGATTCAGCCCCTAGTTTTGCTGATATAGGCTTAGTTTGTCGGGGGACATCTTACTTCTTCCTTCTCTCAGTCTATACCTGTGTACTCTCATGTTACGATTAACCCAGCGTCCCCAAATGTCTTTCTTTTTGGTGTCTATATACGCTGGGATCCGGAGTCATGGATGATCCTGCGGTCCTGGATCGCGAGCCCTGGATCTTGAGTCGTGGCTGTGGTCCTGGATCATAGGTCCTGGATGGATATCCTCGTGGATTCATCTTCCTATTATACACACATGCATTTCCAAACATTTGGACTACCTATGTTGCAAATGTAACAATGTAATTTACACACGGCATCTATTGCACGTCTGTCCGTCCTGGAAGAGGGATCCCTCCTCTGTTGCTCTCCCTGAGGTTTCTCCCATGTTTCCCTTTAAACTGTGGGTTTTCTCCGGAGGTTTTTCCTTGTACGATGTGAGGGTCTAAGGACAGAGGGTGTCGTATTGTCATACTGATATTCTGTACAAACTGTGAAGTCCACTGAGACAAATGTAACATTTGTGATATTGGGCTATATAAATAAACATTCATTGATTGACATATGTTAAATATGTGACATGCATTTCAAAAAAAGAGTACTAAGTTATGATATAATTGAAAAAATATATATAAGAAAAAATAAAAAGTGTTGTGCTGTGCTAGTTATATAGTCTGACCGCTGCAGGAAGGAAAGACCTGCGGTATCTCTCCGTGAGACAGCGGGGATGCAGCAGCCTATCGCTGAAGGAGCTGCAGAGTGAGGACAGGGTGTCCTGGAGGGGTGGGACACATTTTCCAGCAGGGAGGACAGCTTGGCTGCCATTCTCCTGTCTCCCACTACCTCCACAGTGTCCAGAGGACTCCCCAGAACAGAGCTGGCCTTCCTTACCTGTCTGTTCAGTCTCTTCCTGTCAGCAGCCGAGATGCTGCTGCCCCAGCAGGACACACCATAGAAAATGGCTGATGCCACAACAGGGTCGTAAAATGTCTGAAGGAGTGCCCCCTGCACCCCGAAAGACCTCATTCTCCTCAGCAGAAAGAGTCTGCTCTGTCCCTTCTTGTTCAGAGCAGCAGAATTGTCAGTCCAGTCCAGTTTATTGTTCAGATGAAAACCCAGGTATTTGTAAGATTTCACAATCTCAATGTCCGCTCCCTGGATGTTCACTGGTGTCGGGGGGAGTGTTGGCGCCGTCTGAAATCCACATATTAATGAATTTGCTTCAGCTGCAAAGATCACTCTTCAACACTTCATTCATTACTCTTATTTATATAGCTGCTACAGTGAAAACATAATGTAAAATGAATACAATTTTTATTCATAGCACATTTATTTAAGCATGTAATCGTCTTTTCATGTGGGCAGCAGCAGAAGTGATGGACTGATGAATGATTGTTCAAGGTTCAATGTTAACAATGGCTCATTCCGATATTTGACTTCAGAGTCTGCATAATGTAGAAAAGTAATATTAAATCCACAGGTGATATAAAGAACACATCTTCATAAAGAAACAATAGTTGCGAAACTCAAGTTGAATAGGTTTGGTATTAACAGAAGAAGATAAAGCTTTAAGGTTAAGGACGAGGCCTATACAAATACAATGTTTAAAACACAAACATATTTACTGGCCATTGATGTGAAAATCAAGCCAATCTATCTTTGGTGTTATACTTTCACATACAATACATGCAAAAAGAATGAATAAGAACATGTTGGGTAATTTAGTCCATGTCTTCCTTTGAATGCAGTCTATGGTGTATAACACATGTTCTAATGTTTTTTCAGAACTCTCTTTCAGTGTTATGTGTCACACAATTGCAGTTATATTGTTTAACCCCTAGATTTCAAACTTTAAGTTTTCTTGACTTTATATGATAGCTTTCATATTATGTGCAGAGTGTTTGTGAATTAAGATTATACAAAGAAAAGGTCAGCCTTGAAATTCCTATCCCCTCTGTGTTAGGGAATAATTTGCTTAGGTATTCAACCTTCGACCCAGTTCATACTTTTCTCTTCTCACTGTCTCCTTTCCCATGGCATAGGTCTACGGCCTTGGGTATTGCTGCTATCTCTCTTAAGGAGGAGCAGCTTGGGCGCATTGTTGTTGCCAGTCTATGACAGAGCACAAGCCGCCATGAGGTAGTTTACTGTTCAGGGACGTAGGTTCCCTGGCGCGCATTCTTTTATGGACGAGAGCTCTAGTTAGATTCAGGGTCCATATTGCTTTAGTCTCACTGATGAAGAATGTTGATTATTACACTCCGAACTAGTTAAAACCTCGAACTGCAGAAGAGTTCTTCAGAATTGGTTTGGCAACCGCTGTGTCAACTCGTGACACACCACCTGTCAATTCTCCGGCCGTAACTCCAAATAAACCATCAGTGTTTGCCATCAAAGCTCCAGCTCTCCTCGTGCCTCTCTGAGTCCTGACTCTCCATTGCTACAGAAGTTTCCCCCACACTCTGCAGTATGTCATGGTTTCTCTGCATATGAGGTATTCATTCGGTACAGGAAGTTATGTTCTTGAATGTTTGACTATGGGCCCTATCTGACAATCATTGACTCATGCGACACATCCGGGTCCTTTTCAAGTTTGGGTAAGCTAGCAGACTACGTACTCTGATAACTCAGCCAGCACCGGCTTCACCCCGTTCTCCTGATGCTTTGCTGGAAGTTACGTAGTGGTGAGTATACCCACCCAGAAACATTGTGTTGGCTAACGATGTAGACTCGGTTATATATCGTGTACAATTTGGGATTTTAAAAGGGGGGGTCCATGGAAACCAGACCCAAGAGGTCATTTTTTTTAACACTTTATTCATTGGGTATTTCACACATAACACAAGAACAGGAGAAAATAGAGAGTAGCAGAGGGGTTCTGCACTCTTTCATACAATACAGCTATACATGTGTTACACCTTATTCCTTTTGTTTGAAGGGATGTCAGAAATGTCGGCTAACAGGGCTAATTTAGGTGTACAAGGAATCACAAAACCAGAAATCTCTTTAAGAATCTCCCATATTGACCTCCAGTAATGCTTTAATTTATTACATTCCCAGAACATGTGAATTAGGCTACCTGTCTCTGCAGTACATCTAGGACAAAGATCTGAAATTGATTGATTTATGAAGTATTTCTGGTGTAAAGTGGTTCTGTGAATAATGTTAAACTGCAAAAGTTTATGTCGGTTGTTATATGAGAAAGTTAGGGCCTCCTCACATAATGAGTCCCATTTTAAGTCTCCAAAAGTACAACTCAGGTCTTGTTCAAGATTACCCAAGAGGTCATTTGATGAAGTGCAGTTTCTGGCAATTCCACATTCATTACTCAGCCCATGGATGTTATGTGGCTTGTGCTTGACCTCCTGCAGGACAAAAATGGGTCTTACAAGCTTCTCTCTGCTGCATGTCACAGAGAATTCTGAATTCAAAACATATTTAGCGTTTTGGAAGTGCTATATTCTTATGAGTTCTGTAATTAATCAAAGCATTATATGATTATAAAAAAATTGCTTTATGTAGTGACAAGTTGCAATGTGTAGTTGCTGAAAGGTAACATCTATTGGTACCGATATCAGTAGCCTGCATATTAGACGTTCAGGGAACAGCATCTAAATGTCTACAATAAGATAAGGAACATTCATGTAGAGAAGGCCTAAGTCTTCTGTAGCCTAGATTAATCAGAAATATTGATAATAAAGTTGACTTTGACCGGCTGTCCCTGTGAATATATAAATAATGGATCTAAAAAGGGAGCGTTGCCATTTTTTTTTCAGGGGGGTCAAAATGGAATCAAACATGTTATTCACAGCGGCATGAAATAGTTGCAAGTGTCAACTGGCTTAAAGGAATACTTCACTTCCAGATTGATCTTTTGTATATTAATGAATCACTCTGTGTAATATCCCATGTGCTTAGAAATCCTTTCTTTCATGCGGTGAATTATTCTTAAATGAATTTAGCCTAGTTTTGCTTCTGTAAAACACATCCACTGTTTACTCAATAAAATGTTTTCATCTTTTTGGGATATTTCCTCACTGTGTCGAGGCATAACAAATCTAAAGAATTAATGATCATTTTGGGTGTAAAAGTGCCCATTTCTTAGATATTGCTATCTACTGTATCTCCATTAGGAATGTTACTTCCGATGTAAATAAAGTAATGGCTTCAATCAGGGCCTAAAGTGACATAAAGCCCTGTAATGTTATATATTGCTTTCTCAATATGTTCAATATTTTTAGCAAAATTCATTTAAATAATTGGCTTGTGCGCCCCTGCGCTGTTCGCCTGCTATACGGCCATCCCGCTGTCTGTCACCCGACGTCTTCGCATAGCGTCTTCAGCGTCAGGCGGCTCTTTTGTCATTGGTCTTTTTTGTTGTCTGTCAAACAAGCACTACATTGGGATTGGCTCTCCCACGGAGCTGTGTTCCTTTTCGCTGCACCTGTCTCTCTGTGAGAGGCTGAGAGCGCTTCCTGCTTCACGCGAAGCTCCCGCCTCTTCATTCAGCTCCAAGGAAGAAAGGAGGAACTGCCCCAACCGCATGTGACACTTCCAGTATGCCGCAAAACCTTGCTGCTATGTGACTCCTTGGTATTATTTAGCTGCTTCTGGACTTGGTAGGAAGTAATGTTAGAAAGTTTGTAATTACACACGGTGTTTTGGGGGGTGCAGGGTGCTTTCGGAAAGGTGCCAGTGGGTTCGGAAGTGGAGCGTGGCAGCGAAAAGGGAAAAGGTTTTTTTCTTTCCTGTTTGATACCAGATAGCTTGACACGACAGGGCTGACATAGAATATGGCGGAGCATCACCTGGTTTCCGACAACAAACACAAATCCTCACTGAACTCCGGAGCGTCGTACTCGGGTAACGGGAGCAGCAACACGGCGGTGGCGGAGAGAGATTGCAGCGCCGCGGCGGCGGGAGGAGGAGGTCTGTCCGGCGGCCTGTCGCAGCCGGCTGGGTGGCAGTCCCTGCTGTCTTTCACCATCCTGTTCCTGGCCGGGGTGGCCGGGTTCAGCGCCAGGCTCTTCGCTGTCATCCGCTTCGAAAGCATCATCCACGAGTTTGACCCCTGGTGAGTTAATCTTCCCACACACCAAGCATATTCAAATTGATGTTTTAAGATGGACTGCTAAATATATTTTAAAAAGATGTCCTTGCTCTTTGGGTTTGGCTAGCAATCACTCAAAAACGCGTACAAATTTGAGCAAATTGTTATAAAAATAGATTAACTTACTAACTGTGTTAATTTATTAGAGTTAAGCCACCAGGAAACAGCTTTCAAAAACACGTATTGGCCTTCTTCTGTCTCTTTCCTGAACATCATGCTTATTTTACACACCAAAACATTTGGGCTTCACTTTAGAGTACCAAGTGAAACCTGCTAAGACTATCTAATATATTGTAGTACTTGTTCATTATAAGTGCGACGTTGTAACGGCCAGTGGGGAGTAGGTGGTGTCACACTAGAGTAAACGAGCGGTGACAGCTTCATATTACGCGGTTTGAAGGCGGAAATAAAATCCTCTACCAAGAATTTCTCCCTCGATCAACCAAAGATCACCTCTGCTCTGATCTGTTGCCTTGCCGCTACACTACCACTGATTTCAGTGTGCCACACACAGGTGCCTTAATCATATTGTACCTTTTTATGCTGCACATTATTCCTGCAGGTTGTAGTATGACCTTTGCTCAGAATATTGCTAAAGGTGATTCAAAACTTTATTTGTACTTACTTTGCAATGTGCTCCTTGTTCTGCATGACAATATTCAGTATTCAGATTTATAAGGACTTTTAAATACTCGTCCCAGAACAATTCTGGTAATAGTTGAAGTGCAAAAAGGATTTCCTCACACTGTCTCGGCTGACAGTTGGGCCTTTGCCACAGCGACATTAGCAGACTTTGCTGCACGATAAGTTCTAAGGAGGCCTTTAAAACAATTACATTTGGTACTATTCCCCTCAAACATGATGTATGCACATGCATGTCTAGGCTTATCCAAGAGAAAGTGAAGCACCTCAGTTGTAACAAACAAACCAGTGCTTTTCCTAACCAGAGCAGATTTAGTTAGTGCACTTTAGTTTGTGTTTGATTCCAAAATCTCACGTGAGTTCTGACAAATATTGTCCAATCTCTTTATTTGTACTCCAAGGGACTGTTGCCTGGCCCGAGCCTGCATTGCATCACTGAAAGCATTTCATGATTATTCTGTGACCAGCCGTGTGGATTAAACTGTCAGCTTCATTTCTGTCTGCTGAATAAAAGAGGAGTCTTGCAAGCTTTGGCTTGGGAGAATCCTTCAGTTTTTGTGTGTCACTGTCTGGACGCCTAACATGGCAGTGAGTGAAATGTATTCACTCACTGCTTCATTGTTCTATCATTCTCCCTTTGCTCTCAGACTGGCAACATTTAGTACATTAGACATTTGGATGGTGTGTTTCCCCTGCAGGACATCTGATTATACATTACACTTTATGTTGAAGTTCAATCGTTTTTGCACATCATGACTATCAGTTTCAAAAATAGTGATGACAATGTTTTAGGCTGTATTGCTTCATATTTTGAAAAGGATCCCTAATGTGTTCATTCCACTGTTGTCCAACTAGTAGTAGTAGTAGTAGTAGTAACCCCACTGCAGTCAGCATGTCGTTGTGTCCCTGAGACTCCTCACCCCACATTGCTCCTGTGGGGATTGCCCACAGTATTGAGTATGTGAGTCGCTTTGGATAAAAGCGTCTAACAAGTGACATGTAATGTAACAGTACCAGGCTGTGCTGCTGTTGTACATCTGTCAGGAATATCTACTTCTTCCCCTGTTTTTTCTTGAGAGAGAAATGGTGCTTTTGGAGATTTCAAATAAAGTGAGGGGGGGGCTTGCGCAGAGGGCTTGATGCACATTAGGAAATGTATTTCTACATTTAGCCTTGTTGACATCTATTATACTGACTGTTTAAACTTATTTTTGCTTAAACAATTCAATCCTTTCACTGTTGTGAGTCAGTTAGATTCCTTGTTTTCGGTTTAATTCTCAGATGTAGGTGACAGTAAAACACAGCGTAAACCAAACATATGTTCCGTCAGCTGTGCAATGAGAGGTTATGTCTGGATTTTGGCTGATGAGTCACGAGAGTCCTGCTGCCCCCATTAGGAGCCTTCAGTGGTGCACTCTGCTCGGTCAAAGGTGTCACGACAGTTTGTGCCTCTTGTTAGTTGTGTTAACAGATAGATGTGGTCCACTGAAACCTAATGCTAACGTGCCACTGACTCTGCTAAACACCAGCGCTTCCACTGGGCAGGGGCACATGTATTCAGTCCTGCTGGCAGCCTGCAGCAGGCAGGAGGTGACATGTCAGATAGGCTGCCTGGCTAACACACTTCCTGGCTGCAACCCTTGTGCAGTTTGGACTTTACTTAGTGCTTGTATTTGTTAGACTAATGCCATTTTTCCAATTGCTTGCCATTATGGTGTTTTTCTTTTTGTCTGACAAACATTGACACAAGATAAGAGAACCCCTCTCATCATTCAGGCATTTCCAACGGACATGCGATATTCTTTCCTTTTTAGGAAGCTTTTAAACCATTTCTGTTGAACTACTACGGCTGGGCTTGCTGTTGTATTCCTGCAGAGAAATGGGGCGGCTGTGGCTCAGGAGGTAGATGGTTGTCCTCCAATGGGAAGGTTATGAATGTTTCCCTGAACAGGTGGCGGCTGCCTCTGAATGCATGTGTACATTTCTTCTGTAAATGCAAAAGTGCTTTTAGGGGACTGGGAAAGCACTGTATAAATGCAGTCAATTGAATTACCATCAGTAATATGATGCCTACCACAGAGTTGAACCCATTATCGTCATGGCTGCTACGACTTACAGTAATTCTTGCCCTCAGCCTCATTGTTTATTGTATTATGATATAATGATATCAAATGTTTGTAGGTAAATCTGAACAAACAACAAACAATGCTGGGATACCTGTCTGCTCTGGGATGTGCTGCCCTATCACCATCATGTTAAACTCCTGCTAGTGTCAGACTCAGCTTATTGCAACATTTTGCAACAGCAATGGATTGAATTGCACTAAATGGAATGATGTCTTTGTATCAGTTTTCCACTTAATTTACAGATGGCCCTGAGCCCAATGGAGATTGCCCTGAAAAATACGCGGGGACGAAATGACGCACGAAGGGTTTGGGGGGGCCTCCCCCTAGAACATTTAGATGTTTGCAGGTCTTAGATGCTGTCTGGTGCATTCTCTACACTGAATTATAAGATGAACCACCATAATATTATATTGTACAATTTCATGACAATCCAGTAATGTTGTACAGACTGCATGTCCTGAAATTAGGGAAACCTAAAAATAAGCAATGTAATTTTTTGGGGTTTGGGGGAAGTCGAGACATGGACAAAAATAGGGCAGAACTCCCCCTGTACATAGTGACATTTGGGGCCAGAATAGGATTTTTTCTAAGTCAAGAACTGAAAATCAAAAGTACATAAAAAATTGCATAATTATATAATAATAAGTTCATACATACTTATCACTGATGGAAGGGACATTTCTGCAAGGCTCACAGAACATTTCATTCTTCTCTTTGTCAAATCTCAGCCATGGAAACTGGTCCAGCCAAGCTAGGATGAATGCCCTTGCCCTCTCCTTCTCCTCATAGTCTCTGGCCTTCTGGATTCTCTCTTCTTCTGACTGGGATTCTCTTTTTTGGGGGGGGGGACTGCAGCTCAGTCTTTCTCTTCTTCTTTCCAGGTTGTTCACCTTGCTTTGGTGGACTAAGAAACATTGTAATACACTGACTTTAAATGATTTGATCGTTAGGTATTCAGCATCAGAATCCGTAACAAATTGAAATTCCCGCGAAAATGTGGTTGCATTCGATTCATTGTCCGGGTAGTATTCATTGTATAGAAATCGTATTGACCGGGCCAGCCCGAACATCGCGAAGTTGGTCGAACGAATGCCTCCTCATCCGGAGGCTGACCGAGCAGACCCGAGCAGCAGTCGAGAGGAGCCGAGCGCATCCGCGAAGCACACAAAATGGCGACGTCCATGAAGAAAGACGGGTTGACCGACTTTTGGCAACTTTTTCATCGTTTTCCAACCGATTTGACCGCTGTCAGGCACTGACACGTCTCCAAAATTGCCATAATATATTTCCCGATCGGGCAACCAGCAGGTGAGGCTTCATTGCCCGAGCTAAATATTAGATTGCCTCGGGCCATCGGGCAGTCGTTAATGTCGAGCCCTGAACTGGAAGATTTGGTGTATCTACGTGCTACTGAAGTGGACATTTCAAACTCAGAGTAGGAGAAAAAACTAATTTTGAGAAAACTACCTTTTTAAAGATTACTGTGAGGCGCTAGTTAAACCCTCCTGTTCTTTGGATGACAGCTTGCGCCTCGACGCACTTCGTGAAGGTATTTCGTAGTCAGGGTCATTTGTTTTTTGTCTAACATTGCTTCGTGAAAGTGACAATTGTTGTCGTCTTCTCTGTGAACGTTTTTATCGATGTTCTTTTGCCATTTTGAGATTAAGGCCCAATCCCAAACCGCTCCCTACACCCTACCCCTACACAGTACCCCTCCATTTGCGCATTCGCACGGAGGGTCCACCACATTAAGTGCTGTTCCAAACCAACGAGTGTTGAGCGGTGTGGAGGGGGAGTGGGCTATCAAGCCCTCAAACAGCGAGTCTGCATCGGTGCTGACTTGAGACCGGTCTCTACCTGACCGGTCTCAACGCTGTGTCCGGCCGTCAGGAAACACGCTGTTTACAAGTAGTTCCAGCAAACATCCACTGATAAACTGCAATGTTAACAACCTCATGATAACCTCATATGTCTTTAACTTAGGATCATAGATCATCATACCTGTGTTTAGTCTAGAAAAAGGTAAATGTGTGCATTTTATTATAAAGTTGTGTATATTTACAGACTGTTGCAAAAACTAAGAAGCTTATAAACATCAGGTTTAAAACTAAAAGAGCTTTACAAAAAAGTAACACAATGAAAGATGTTTGGAGTTTTATTTGATTTATTAATTTACATTTTTTGTCGAAGAGATGCTGATTTGAAACCCTTGTTACATACAGTTACGGCATTTCCTGTTTCTGCAGAGAGAGGGGAGGCCGTCTCAAAGCTTACCGCTGTATTTACTCCCTCCATCTGACAGGAGGGAGCCTCATGTGTCACTCCACGGAGTTCACTCCGTCACGGAAGGGGAGAATGTAGGGCGTGGTTTGGCATTAGGCCTTACATTTTTAGCGGCAAGCTAACCAAGAAGTGTTTTAGCACACCACGTGACGCATCTGAACGAATCACGTTGTCAGAAATTGGCACCAGCCAATGAGATTCAGTTTCTTGGTTTAAGACCCATTTGTACTTTCACGTTAGGTTGCTGATACAAAGGAAATGACCATATTTGGATCCGATGAGATTGTGCAGGAGAGACGGAGCTTTCCAGCGATATCTCTGCGGTACTTTGTTACGTTAGAATTAGGGATGCACGATATTGGTTTTTTTAAACCGATACCAATACCGATAACTTCCTGCTTCTCAAGACCGATACCGATAACCGATAATAAAAAAATCTTTACGCCACTAATTATTTTAACGCGATTAACGCATGTGTATTTTTTTTCCTCGGCCGCCCGGTAGTTTCAGAGCGCATCGAGTTTAAAATACCATCTACAAGCTGATGCTGACAGCCCCGCTCCTGTCGCTCGCTTGTGGCAGATCACACTTCCACGCTCACCGGCAGGCACCGACTGGCCATCTGGAGGACCGGGAGGGTGTGTGTATGTGTGGCCCGAGCGAGCGAGAGAGAGACCTTACGTGCATTGTTGTTGTTAGCATCTGGTGCTAGCTAGCTGCGCTAACGGATATACGGAGCTGTTTAGATGAAAACAGAGGAGCGACATTTCGCCACAACTGCGCCGAGCACTTGACTTTATGCAGGAAGCCAGACAGTGGGACATTGTACGAAAAGTGTGCGCAACATGATTGCAGCTTCGGTTCGAGCATATGCCTTGAGTTGCGTCACAGCCAGGCATGAGTTAGGGAGCGCTGGATTTGTGAAAAACTCTCCTCTTCCTAAACCACTAATACCACAGTACTGGCAAAACGGGAGGAGCCGAGTGAAAAACAAGCGCCCCTCATCCCAATCCACCCACACCGCAGTATTTTTTCTTTTTTTTTACCCAAAAAATATATTGTATATTATCGGGGCTATTCATACTGGTATCGGGTTTATCGGGATGAGGTCATAATTCCTAATATCGGACCGATAATTATCGGGCAGATAATTATCGTGCATCCCTAGTTAGAATCAGGGCCGCCAATCACGCAGGCTGCATGGGGCCCCACCTTGCGCAGGGGGCCCCGCCCAGAGGGCCTCAGCTGCTGTGCGCAGTTCTCCGCTCAGTTCTCCGCGCACCCCCGGCTGACACGCGAGAGTGAGAGGTGACAAGGGGAGCACGTCTGTAACCCGACACCGTTGCAATGAATCGACATCTGACCAATCACGGCTTTGATACGGCCACTAGTGCAGGTGAAGAGATGTCGGTGAAAAGACAGTTTCAGTCCGGAGCAAGCAAGAGGGGGAAAAAAACAAAACATGAAGAAACTAGAGCATCACTCGAAGGTGGGTTATTGTATGAGTCAAATGTACAACTTGCGAATGTTGTATAAGTCAAATTGCCAATTGCCATATTAAAACATCAGCTGCAATTCACGACATGAAGAAGGCAGTCTCTGCAGAGCATATAGGCTAATGGAGATGCAGTTATTTCCATCATTCTTTATTTAACATTCATTCAAGTATGTGATGCCTTTTATCTGCTAATGTACAGGAGGAAGAGTGATACACTGTCTGTCTAGTTGGCTTACATAACAGTTAAAGTTTACAGCCTAAAAAACATGGAGCATTTTTTCCCCTTTTATTCATTTTTATGTCAATTTGCACATTTCATGGTGATGCTCAGCCTCTCCCCTTAACTCCTAACAGTCATCATCATGTCAACCACAACACAGAGAAATACTGATAGAAATGTGTGTGTAGTTGTTGGTACATTGCTGACAGAGGGAACTAGAATACAGATTTAAGAAATATTAGTTTTTGAGCATGTCATAAGCATGTTTTGTCTTGACTATATTACAACTATATTATAATACAATAATATAGTATTTATATTATTGAATTGATTATGATTATTATTATTAGTAGAAGTTGTTTATTTGCATTAATTATATTTTAATCTTTTTGAGGCTAGTATTTGGCAGGAAATGCAGACGTATTAACCTGTAAACGCATACTGAACGACATACATGCACATTTACCATTTACCTCACTGTATACAAAAGTGTTGATAATAATAATAAACAGGAATTATATTTGCAAAGTACTTTGTTTCCAAAAAAAAATTGTTTCACTCCTGTCGGTTGGGGGGGGCCTCATCTCACAATGTCGCTTGGGGCCCCAAGTTGGCCAGGGGCGGCCCTGGTTAGAATGCTAACTTTTGGTGAATTTAGGAGAAATCTACAGACGCAAATAGACAAACTATAGTAAAATAAACACCTAATTGTGTATTTTGTACATTTTCCTTCCAAAAGCCTGAAAGAAAACATGTTATGGGCTCAAAATAGAACAACATATCAAAATTGACCAGTACTTGAAAAACAATGTTTTTGCCTGGGGTGTCTCGCCTTAATGAGTGAGACACGGGGGAGTTGAGGATCTGTTTGGGTTTGCATGTCGATGTATGGGAAACACTGTTTGTATTACTATTATTAATAATAACGTGTGCATAGACCTTCTTCAGGGGCGGACTGGCCATATGTAGAATGTCTCCCCACGTTGACAATCCACTAACAACCCACCCTCCCCGCCGTTGACAATTCATGTGGCGGGGGGTCGCCAGTCTCTGGCACAGTTATTTTGGGGGTCGCGGGCTGAAAAGTTTGGGAACCCCTGCCCCTAGACTACACTTTCATTGTATGACTCCTTGATTCACATAGAAAATAATTCTCCAACCTCCCATTTACACTAAGAAAAGAAATAGGAAAAGTGTAATCACTAGCTTGCTTGAGTGAATGCACCACAAGTCCTACAGTGGTTAACCCCAGTGCCTGGAGTCCATGAAGATGAAACTGTGGGTTTTCTCCGGAAGTGTTTCCTTGTACGATGTGAGGGTCTAAGGACAGAGGGTGTCGTATTGTCATACTGATATTCTGTACAAACTGTGAAGTCCACTGAGACAAATGTAACATTTGTGATATTGGGCTATATAAATAAACATTGATTGATTGAACCAACCAGTGAGGAACATTTATTTATTTGCTTCAAGTCAACTTCATTGTCTGCAATGCTATGGGAAAAAACGGAGTCTCATAGGTGCCCCTCACCAGCTACTGCTAACATGCACAAGCATTGGTCTTGCAGTTGGTGTCTATTCAATGTCTTTGTCTGGCACAATAATGGCTAGTTAGCCATTACTGGTGAGATACATGAAAACTCTTCCCAATGTTTTTTGAGCTGGATCCTAAGGATGACACAAAATGTAGTTTTCTCCAAGACCCAGACTAGAAACCGTTTACGAGCCTATTATCCAGAGATGTAAGTGTGGGCTGTGAGTGTTTCTTCTGACCACTTACAATTAAGATGCTGCAGGCTTCCTAGGGCTCAGGAAAATAAAAGGTATTCTGTCAATACAGACAGGAATCGGAGCACCCAATGGATTGTGGGTTGTGTATGTGTGCAGGCACTTCCCCCCCCCTTTTTTTTTTTTCAATAATGTACCTGAGCCTCAAGAGGGAGCATGAGCAGCCAGCACTTCTCTTCTCAATATAGCACTCACTCATAAGCAAGCCATATGCTGCAATCCCTACATTATATTTCAGCTTTTCACCAGGAGACACTTACTATTGAGCTCTTTAATAATGAATAAAAGCTCAGGGGACAACACACTAACGGCTGTGTACCAGCAGAGTCTCCGTCGGAAGGCTAGAGGCAGCACTTTATCTACCAGGCCTGTATAATCTTAGACAAGTCTGTGGTGGGGTTGTTTCTCTTAAAGTCTTGTTGGCTGTTAGCTTAAGAAATGGAAGGCTGGAATGGATGGAAAGTTTTATACCTGCTACTTTTTCCTTTGTCTCTAATGTGCCAATGAACAGAAATGGTGTCCTAATGTAGACCTGCCTTGACATTAACCAACTTCAATGACAATTCCTAAATACATAAATGCATTTATTGATCTCCCGTCACCATGCCATAGGTCGACTGTAAAGATTGTGTTTCAGTTTCTAACTTTAGGGCTGAGGGCATGCTAACTTGAACTGGTGTGCTGCATTTTGTTAACTAAATCATCCAGTCATTTTCAGAGATCAAGGAACATTGCCTTATTGCCTTGTGTATCTCAACAATGTCAGATAACTTGTAAGTGCTGCACAACAAAACGATTCCAACATGAGCTTACTTCCTTCAATCTGACACTGCAGTCCTCTGAGCTGCTCTCTGTGGTTTCACAGGTTTGCCCTCTCTGACAGCCCCCCCATCTCTCTGTGTGTTCAAATGTTTCAGGTTCAACTACAGGGCTACTCACCATCTCACTACCAATGGCTTCTATGAGTTCCTCAACTGGTTTGACGAAAGAGCCTGGTACCCTCTGGGTAGGATAGTAGGAGGCACGGTGAGGGTTCATTTGTTTTATTCAGACATGTGTAAATGAAATCTGCTCTGTTCATTTATTATTTTGGATCAGGTTAAGTCTTTGGTTGAATTTGACTTTATTTTGTTTCTGGGAGAAATTCTGTAAATAAGTCGCTGTCTTATTTCGATACAGAGATTTGAACATGATCAGGAGTGTAGCAAAAACATGGAAGTGAAAGCAGCACTGTGTTTTTAAATGCATGATTGAAATAAATATATTTTGTGTCTAAAATCTGTTTAATAATTGTTGCCATAATTGTGCAGCCCTATGTGGGAGATAGGCTGGCTCTTCAGACTTTAATAATAACATCTGACGGGATAATTACTGCAAAGTCACCTTTGTGTCTCCGCTCCTTCCCCAGGTGTACCCAGGCCTGATGGTCACGGCGGGCCTCGTCCATTATATTCTCAACCTGCTGCACATCACCGTCCACATCCGGGATGTTTGTGTGTTCCTGGCTCCGGTGTTCAGCAGCCTGACCTCCATCTCCACCTTCCTGCTCACCAAGGAGATTTGGAACCAGGGGGCAGGGCTGCTGGCAGCCTGCTTCATCGCCATCGTCCCCGGCTACATTTCCCGCTCTGTGGCTGGCTCCTTTGACAATGAAGGCATCGCCATCTTTGCCCTGCAGTTCACCTACTACCTCTGGGTACGCCCATACATACTTTATTAGTGTTTAGACTCTCCTGAATGCAGCTATTTATAACCGTTGCCATTGCTGCTTGAGGTGGCTGCTCTTTGTTAATAGCTGGGTAATACACTTGAATAGTCAAGCTGCATGGGCTGCCCTGTAGCTCATCTGGTAAAGCCTTTCATCCCTTCTGTCTCCCAATTTCAATACTGTCACTTCAGGAGAGGCACAGGTGGCCTGATAACACATCTCTGAACTACAATGACTTAAAAACTTGTTGTGTGTTGCTGCTCATCAGGTGAAGTCGGTGAAGACGGGATCTGTTTTCTGGACCATTGGATGCTGCCTCTCCTATTTTTACATGGTGAGAACACATACCCCAACTCATTTATCATTACACTATAAGCTGTGACACCTTTTCTCTTGCAGCTGCTTATCCACCAATAATTATGTTACACTTATAGAGAACAAGCTTGAAAATATGTGCATGTCTGTTTTTCTGTGTTCGTGTGCCTTTGGAGGGTTTTTGAACCAGCAGCATAATCTGAGTAGTCTTAACGCTGTAACAGAGGTGGCGTTAGACTTTTTCGGACAGGATCCTAACATTTCCGCCATAATCCATTATTACCCGTCGGGTCTGAACCCGCCACTAACGTGTCGTGCTGTTCCGAGTTTGTTCTAATCCGTCAAAATGACAGACTGCTTTCAGATTTTTCCGTCATTGTTAAACAAAATCCGTCATAGACGGAAATATTTGGTTAACGTGACCACTGCGCTGTAGTCATAATATATTAGTGGTAAATATCGCAGCTCTCAGGTGGGCTGTGCAGCTGTGCCCCCTCCCTCTTGGTTTTACATCTCCCTTTATGAGAGAGTCATAGAATCACAGCCACCTTTCATTTGGCAGCCTACAGGGACTCTGATATTATGATTCTGCTGCAGAAGCATGGCACATATTTAGCAGAGATCTAAATGGCAACTGTGTATGTTCATTGTGTGCATACATAAACCAAATAGTTACACCTCTTATTTCTATTTTGAGAACTGCTGGAAAAGCTCTAAATGAATGAGAGAATACTCTGCTTGTTTCACAGGTGTCTGCTTGGGGTGGATACGTGTTCATCATCAACTTGATTCCACTTCATGTATTTGTCCTGCTGCTCATGCAGCGCTACAGTAGGAGAGTCTACATAGGTGAGATATACACACACACACACACAGGTTTCTTTTGACATTCAAAGTCATGAACGTACACACATTGATTTGGAGGTAACAGAGTAGCTGTTACTGATGATGAATAGCAGCTGATGCTGTGTTTATAATGAGACAGACATCAAGCTTACACAAGTCCCACAGAGGAGAATAGACATGTGATGAAATTACTTTAAGATATATAGAAAGTGGCAAAGCACGCAGGGAAAGAAAATCAAAGCCGTCTCACTTTCAAAGACTTTGCCTTTCTGATCTTGAATCGATTCCTGATCGAAGGCTCCAAGGTCCGTAATGATGCTGTAACACATTACCATTGTTTCGCATCCAGATCAATAACCAACACATACTATACCAGATCATTATCCTGTGGTAATAATGACATATCAAGGTGCGGAAAGTACATGCACAGGCTAGGTTCTCTTTAGCTTTCTGATGAAGCACAAATACTGTACTGGAATATCTTTAAATGATCGTCTGAGAAGCTGAAGAGACTTAAACAATTATAATAATCTCTGGTCTGGAGACTCATTTGTTGCTGTACCCTAGCAAGCAGGGACTGATCCAATCAAGCGCAGCACTAAAATGAAATGATTGAATACCATTCTGTTATTGTGGACACATTTTATGGGTATAAATCCAATGAATGTGATCACTTGTCAGTAAGTAGATAGTAGCTTGTCTTATACTGTTCTTAACCATTTGTTTCTCCCACCAGCCTACAGCACCTTCTACATCGTCGGCCTGGTGTTGTCCATGCAGATCCCTTTTGTGGGCTTTCAGCCAATCAGGACCAGTGAACACATGGCCGCCGCAGGTCAGTAACCAGCGACCTGTGGTCCCATTCAAAAGTTCCAATTATTTGTTTATTGCAGTGCAAAAACATGGGTTCTCATTTTTCAAGTCTCTCTTAACACAGTACTCGTATTCAGTCCTCAGAAAGTGTGATTGTTTGCTGTAATAAGTGATCGTCATTGTGGACACGCATGTTCACAGATGCAGGAGGTCTTTCCATACCATGAAGACTACATCCTCTTACCCACTAGACTAACTCAGACTGCCAAAGCTTTTAGCTGATAAGCTTCAGCTGAACTTCAGAACTGATTGATGACACAGAACAAGGACAGTGGTTTATGCCTCTCCATTTCATTACATCAAAACGGAATTAGGAAGGGGTCTCCTATCCATACTGTCCACAATTACATCAACCAACAACACTTTTGATGTGTGCGTGTCATTATCGTTTTAAGATAAACTTGACTTTTTTTTTTTTTTTTAAAGCGTCGGGATATATATGTATTATTTTCCAATCTGGGTCATAAAGATATTTTCTACAAAACTAAGTGTGTCTCTGCAGGAGTGTTCGTGCTGCTGCAGGTCTACGCCTTCCTGCAGTACCTGAAGGACAGACTCACCAAGCAGGAGTTCCAGACTATGTTCTTCCTGGGAGTCTCTCTGGCTGCTGGAGTGGTTTTTTTCTGCGTCATTTACCTGACATACACAGGTTGGTTCATATTGTCTTCTTCTGAGTAGCTCTTGCATACATTTTCTGCACAGGGAAAAACGTACCCAACCCATCTCCCTCCACACATGTATGTATCCATATGTGTTTGTGCATGTGTTAATTAACAACAGAAAGGCAATATTTAATTTCCCTTTGTGCAACCAATTCAAAGAATGCTTTCCGTCTTCTTTTACTCCTAGTAACTGAAAGCAACCTTTTTCTCCCCGGAGTCTCAGTCTGAGGAGGCTTTCACAACTGTAGCAGTTAATTTAGTCCATAACATGGGAAGTTAGTCCTGGTCTGGTTTGTGTTCACACACAAACAAACCACGAGTATTAAACAAAAGGTCATACAGACTGACAGGTTCCTCTGACAGTTCTAGTAATTATCATCTCATCAGTGCATTATCAGGACATCTGATGTGTAGTTCCAGTAATCCAAAATTCGGTTCACAGATAGCAAATAAGCTTGACTCGGACAAGATACGTCTCAGGATAGTTTGTTTTTTACTTCCACAAAAAGGTATCAAATACAAACACATATTCTCTCAGGTCAAAAAACGATGTTGCTCGGTGCTTCTTTCTCCTTCTCACCCCCCAATCACCAGCAGCTGCCGTCGGCTATAACGTCTCGTAATCACGAACAGCTGCGGTCGTCTATGCCGTTAATTTCACACGGCTGGTTCCAATAAATGATATAATGGCACTAACAACAAAGGATAATAATATTCAAAAATATCAGACTATACATTTTAACATATGGCTCCTACATGATGTGTATTTATGTTCTATGGTTTCACAAGAGCTCACTATGAAATAGGCCTAACGGATGATTTTGTCATTATTGGACATCTTATTTTCATAAGATGTAACAGGATGCTACTTGGCCATTAGCCTAGAAGTAAGTATTGAGGTCTAATTAGTGTGGGATTGCTGTCACACACTCTTTAATACAGATGACCTGTACAATGGAATGAAAGTGAATAAGTAGAATTGAAATACTACATGTCAAGCAATAGCTTGTTATGATTCAAATCAGCCATCCATGATCTGCAGTGTGTGTGTGCTCGGACCACCTGCAGCCTTTATAACTACAAGAGATGCAGGTCAGAGAGCTCATTACAGCTGATCAGGTCTGCAGCACTGCAGTACAGGCACATGAGAGAATGGTTATATGATGGGTACATCAACCAATCAGCAGTCCACTGATGCCTGACAGAATACACAGATCACAGAGCGTGCGAACAAGGTTGGTGTGTGTTGTGTCTGTCTGTGTTTAAATTAACTTGTAAGTATATTCTTACTGTGTGTGTGTGTGTGTGTGTGTGTGTGTGTGTGTGTGTCACCCTCAGGTTACATTGCTCCATGGAGTGGGCGCTTCTACTCCCTGTGGGATACTGGGTAAGGCCTCACAGTTGTTATACTTTTGCACTGGGGTACCTTACAGTAGTACTGTACATAATTAGATTTTAATTATGTGCAGTAGCACATATACCTATAAATCTTTTAAACTGTTCGAAACAAAGTGGCATGGTGGATGTCCATTTTGTAAAGATGTATACCCGCATGTTTACTTGCTGATGGAAGTCTTAATGTTTTGTTTAGTAATAAACACATGCTCAGAATAATTATTTTATTCTCGTGCCCAAGTGAAAGAAATACAAATAATGAATTAATTATCCTTCCAATTTTTGAATCAACAATGTTTCAGCCAGATCCTAAAGTTATCATTTGCATACAAAGATTATCTCACTCTGTTTAGCTGCAAACATGTTCTCATGGTCAAACATGCAGTCTCTCATCAAACCCGGAGCAGATAATGCTCCCTTTCTCATCTTTCAGGGAACTGTGAGACTGCAGCATCAGTTTTTAAACCCTACAACTCTCCCTCAGTGTATGTGTCCATATCGTTGTGTGTTGATGCACACACCTTAATATTGCTTTCTAAAAGGATGTCAAGTTTTGCTGCAGTTCAGTAAAAGTAACGAGGTCAGCAACAGACCCAAGATAACTGACATCAGCCAAACCTGAATAAAAGACCATTGTTTTGTGTTCCTTTGCCTAGGCATGCTTTTCCTGTGTTATCTGACTGCTCTTCCATGTTCTCCACAGCTATGCCAAGATCCACATTCCCATCATAGCATCAGTATCAGAGCATCAGCCCACCACCTGGGTGTCCTTCTTCTTTGACCTTCACATCCTCGTCTGCACCTTCCCAGCAGGCCTCTGGTTCTGCATTAAGAACATAAATGATGAACGTGTTTTTGGTGAGAGCATATCATGGAAAAAGTAACTTGCAAACCATGTTTGATACAAAATACACAAAAACAAATCTCGAGGTCCATCTTAAAGTGTTTTCAGTGAAATCCCTGCTCTTTCTCACCAGATGCACTTTGCATTTCCCAGTTATCATGATGTCATCACCCAACAGTAGTAAGGGACTTAAATGGAGGGGAGAGGAAATAACCCTATCTCTCTTACGTCAAATGCCATGATTAACTCTTAATGCCGGAGCTTCCCACAATCTCAAAAGGTCAGCTGATGGTAGTTGAGATCAGAAAGAAGAAAAACAATACAGACAAATGATGTATTTATTTATGAAATGATTTGAAACCAATGGGCCATGGGGCCATGCCCTGATAGTGTGTGAACTCTTGAGATTTATTTTAACTTCTGCTAAAACACAACAAAAAGAAATGAGTAAGAGTAATCAAGAGAAGAATAATAACTTCCTATATGTCAGATTATTGAATTTGGTTGACTTCCTGTTTTATAAAATATGACTTAATACTCCAGAAAGTTTGATTGTTCCATCTTCGTATTTGGGTTATTACAATATCTGCTAGTCTGTTACTTCATTAGAATTGAATAACACTTGATATAGTGATAAAACCTGGCATTGGAAGTCCAGACGTCATGAAGTCAATATCAATGATCGATGTGACGTGTGCTAAGAAAGGATGTCCTGTCAGTGAGCATGTGGGAAGTATAATCAGCCAGTGGAAAGGGCTCAGAGGCAGTGTACCTGCCATATGACTCAACGGCACTAAATGAAAGTAAATTGAATAATGAAGTTATGTTTCAAATGAAATCTAATTCACAGAGCTTGAATGGTACGGTCCAGGTCAGCTGGAACCTCATTATCTGTCTCTCTGCTCTCCGTCCACCAGTGGCCCTGTATGCCATCAGTGCTGTTTACTTTGCTGGCGTCATGGTGCGTTTGATGCTCACGCTGACTCCGGTGGTGTGTATGCTGTCGGCGGTGGCTTTCTCCAGCGTCTTTGAACACTACCTAGGAGACGACATGAAGAGGCAGAGCCCTCCAGTAGAGGACAGCAGCGACGAGGACGACAGGAAGAACGCTGGAAACCTCTACGACAAGGTGAGCGGCCATTGCAAAGTGTGTGGGATGTCATGTTGTTTGATTAAACTTGGTTGACCAAAATGCACAAAAGCATTACTTTATTACATATGTGTTCCATTCCCCGTACAAAAGAACGATGTCCTTTCAGAAGTTAGAATGTTGCTGTCGCTCTTTTTTTAATAATTCAATAAATATTTAAGAACAAACTTAATATACAACGCAACTCATACCTAACTTGTTTGAAGCTCCACTTATCATTTTTTTTATATTAATCAGAAGACAATGGGTGTTTCTCAATGTCGAGTAAAGCTGCTCCAGAGCCACTATTTCAAGCATGCTACGTCATCAAGTGCCGCCAAAGGACTGTTCCAATGTCCAGCATACTTGGAATTCTACCGAGCCCGGCGTACTTCGTTTGGAGACATTTCGAGGCTGCACATGTGTAGACTCCGCGGTCTTAAAATCCCCACAATGCTTTGCGCACGGACCAATTTCCCCAAATCTGTGGCGGAAAATGTAAGGCGGGGCCTCTCATATGACGCACACCTGCACACTTGCTCACCTGTTCCACTCTTCGTTTTCCGAATGCCAGGAAGGATTCTTGCCTCGCTTCTGAAGCAAGTGACTCGGAAGACATGTGCTACCAAGCAAGCGTCCTCGATATTGAGAAACACCCATGGTGTACTGTGAAAGGTGACAGACTCACAGAAAATGATCACCCTCAGCTGCAGTTGAACTCAGCTTTATTAAGAGTTTCAGAATCTGTCAGCTCCTGGTTTGGGTTTGACTGCCCACAGCTTCAGTGCAGTGGCTACATCAGCAGGTAGCACTGAACAGAGCTTTGATACCCACTGTGCACTGCCTGCCCAACAAACAGCCATCAGGGTAGGTTAGCGGATTGAAATGAGCAGCTGAAGAGCAAGATATTTTTCTAAGGTTGTGTAAATAGACAATTGTTGACATGTTTGCAATAACTTTATAGAAGCACTTTATAACATAGTGGAAGTTGTAAATATTACAGTGACATATTACTGCTGTCAAGTGTCATTCTTTTACAGCACCAGTTTATCGTGGTAATATTTAGCTTCCTTTGTTTATTTACCGTTATGTCTTCTATGATCAAATCATTCTTGTCAAACAAATGGGAAGTACCTGCTGTCGGTCCTATACCCATTAAAAAATGTATGCACGTCAATATCTGGTACACACTCTTCTTACAAAAGAGGCAAAGCACTACATAGTTCAATAAGCATTTTATAGAGCCATGGTTTGGATTATGAAACGCAAAGCTAGCCTTTTGACATCCAACCAACAGGTAACAACATAACTAACTAAACAACTCAAATAAATGCAAGACATCCAAATGTCACTCCTACAAAATCTACATTTTCTATCATGTTCAGACCTGTCTGAGCAGGACTTGTCATGTTGGTATTATCTGTAATACGTTAATTCATTGTGTTTTGGTATCTGCTTTTCCGTCCTCAGGGAAAGTTGCACTGCAGTCTGGGTTATTATTGATGTAATTTTTCTCTGCACATGAATACAATAGGCGCTTTCACACCGCAGTACTTTTCCCACAAAGGCTCATGGGAACTTAGTTCATGAGAACTCTTTAGTTCTCATGAACTAAGTACAGATCGCGTTCACACCGGAATAAGTCCCTGGGGAAGGATTAGCAAACCACTTCACGGCGTATACTGCCACCCGAAGTCCCCGGCCGGAAGTCCCCGGGGTTGGGGGACTTCCGAGTAAATTGCCAGAACGCCGACACCTCCTCATCTCCACCGCTCCCATGTTTTATTTTGTGTTGTCATAAGTTAGTCTCTCTGCGTTTCTGGGCTAATGCTAATGCTAATAATGCTAATGCGAGGATAATAAAATGGCGGCTTCACAAAAGTGTTTTGGGAGTTTTACGGGGCGTGGTTTGAAATCCGCCCAGCCAATCAGACATAGGAACCTTTTTCTCCCACGAAAGTCCCTGCTTCTCTAGCAGGGGGTAAAAAGGTTCTCATGAACACATTTTAGTTCCGGCTCTTTTTGGTGTGAACGCAACATTTCGGAACTAAAGTGGGAAAAGTACTGCGGTGGGAAAAGTACTGCGATGTGAACGCGCCTAATGGGAATAATGAACTGCAGGTATCCTGAAAGGCGGTGTTTAAAGTAGACGCCATAAAACGGCCTGAGAATTCTCTTAATATGGACCATAATCATCTTCTGGTATATTATCGGCTCATTTGAACAGAGCTCCTGTCTTGTTAGAGTTCCAGTAAGCTTACACATGGTGTCCTGTTGGTGTCCTCTGCAGGCCGGTAAGGTGCGTAAACATGTGTCGGAGCAGGAGAAGGCTGAGGAGGGCCTGGGCCCCAACATCAAGTCCATCGTCACCATGTTGATGCTGATGCTGCTCATGATGTTTGCGGTCCACTGCACCTGGGTCACCAGCAACGCCTACTCCAGCCCCAGTGTAGTACTCGCATCATACAATAACGATGGGTGAGTCATACAACACAATGGGCTTTTCCCAACCATATACACACATGTTAAGACATCATGTACCTGCCTCCATTCTAACATGATTGAAATACCACTTGCTTGAAACTTTACTATATAACAAAACAATGAATAAAGTATGTCTGATTTTCATTGCACTCTAGAATTCTGCCATCAAAGTTTTTTAAACTGCTTTTCAAATATAAGTTAGCATTACATTAGCATAAACTGTACAGTTGTATAAAGAAAGAAAATAACAAAACATTTGAGCAAAATGTTATCAGATCCAGCTTGTTACCAGCAATGACTCTATGAACTGATATGGACACTTGGGAGTGTCCAACAAGAAAAGCTGATAATGCTCAGAGAGAGGCTGTTAGTCAGGGTCCAACACATCCTTCTGCTGAAAGGCAGACATCTCAGAGATGGATGTCAGGGGAGCAACTTGCCTAACACAGGCACTGCATGGACAGGAAGCGGTGAAGGGCTTTAATGCTGTGGTTCTAAAGAGCTCATAGAACAATTGTACAAAAAGTTCCTTACAATAAAAGGAAAACTGATCTCTGATGTAAATAATCTACTCGAAATACTTCATATCTCTTGTTTTACAAAACCTTTGTGCAGGTCCCGTAACATCCTCGATGACTTCAGAGAGGCGTACTACTGGCTGAGGCAGAACACAGACGAGCACGCCCGAGTGATGTCATGGTGGGACTACGGCTACCAGATAGCAGGCATGGCCAACAGAACCACGCTGGTGGACAACAACACCTGGAACAACAGTCACATAGCACTGGTGAGAGCTGCTCCGCCTGTATGCCCTCTGATCACACGCAGTTACTGAGCTAACGCTGAAACTGTGCGTGCAAAGTTACAAACACATCAGCGTTGCTCTTTGCTGTCTCAGTTTCTATACGGAAGTGGCATGTCCCCTTCAGTTCTTCCAGCTTTCACGGCTCGGATAAGTTATTTGCTTCTGATGTACAGAATCAGTGAGATCCATGCCGAGGAAGATTATTTCAGTATTTGGTTATCTTGCTATTCAATTGTGTTGTGCTCTATAAACACTTTAATCAAAATCACATTAGTTATAAAAAACATATATATAAATCTAATCTATCGCACACACGGATACAAATACATATCACACTGCACGCTCACAGACATTAGCTAACCTCTTTCCACGTTGAATTCTGCATGGATCTCTCTGTTGTACTGTAAGTTGCGTGCACATAGTGAGCCAGAGCAGCTTCCACTTCACATTGGGCGGCTGGGCGTTAAAATGAGTCAAGCCACAACGTGGCGCCACAGAGGAAATTAGCTTAGCAGTGGCCGGCTAGCAAAGCTGCCAAAAGGTGTAAAAATATCTTGTTCTTTTTCAAAATTGATGCTATGAAAAAGACGATTGCTGGCTGCCACAGTGTTAGTGGTTCACAGGAAACAGACCAGGTGGACATCATATCTCAGTGCACTGCGAGCAGGTGGAGGGGAGATCTCAGGACTGGACCTCTGTGCCACTGGTACTCCCTTGATTTAGACATTCATTGTTTTAATCCAAAAGAAAATGAAAAGTTGCAGCAAATCCACACATGTTCTGACTTTAAGGCACTCAAATAGGTCAAGTTTCAAGACCCTTCAGTGACATCATCTTCTCAGACCTGATAAAGCTTGGGCTCCTCCAAAGCCACTGCTCAACTGAAAAGTACTAAACTGATCTTGGTGAAATCACTGCAGTGCCCCTTTTTAAATATTCACATGAGTTCTGTTGAATGGAAAATGAAATGTAAAGTTGCTGTTCCTTTATGTTCCTACAGGTGGGGAAAGCCATGTCATCTAATGAGACGGCAGCCTATGAAATCATGAGGTCACTGGATGTTGACTATGTCCTGATCATCTTCGGGGGGGTGATTGGCTACTCGGGGGACGACATCAACAAGTTCCTGTGGATGGTGCGCATCGCAGAGGGGGAGCACCCCAGGGACATCAGGGTGAGAAAGGTCACACCACCCGCTCAGAGAAGTGCTCTCTGAGGGAGCAAACTGCTTGGGGAAATCAAGGATCTCTTGTGTGCCAAATAGTTTGGCTGCAACATCAAAGGAAATCACGGACCAAAGTGTGTGAGTTGACTTTTCTCTTTCCATCTGTTTTGCCTCTGAACCCAGGAGAGTGACTACTTCACCCCCCAGGGAGAGTTCAGAGTGGACAAAGCTGGTTCCCCAACGCTGCTCAACTGCCTCATGTACAAAATGTCGTACTACCGATTTGGAGAAATGCAGGTTTGTCATCATGTATGATCTTTCTGCGCAACATGCTTACCTATTCCACTAGGAACGTATCTGTACTGTTTTCTTGCATACGTTGTGTTTCATTGCAAACACAAATGCTTGACAAAATCGTTTTTAAGTGGAAAATAGATTAAATAGGATTCGGACATAGACAAGCTCACTTGTCTTTATTTCTGTTCTAGCTGGACTTCCGGACGCCGCCGGGCTTTGATCGAACTCGCAATGCTGAGATCGGAAACAAGGACATCACGCTGAAGCACCTGGAGGAAGCCTTCACCTCAGAGCACTGGCTGGTCAGGATTTATAAAGTGAAGAAGCTGGAGAACAGAGACCGTGTGGAACACCAGCTGAGAGGCACCGACACCAAGCAGAAATACACCTCCAAAAAGGTACCGCCCGATCCTGATGCTATTCTTCATCTGGTGTTTAACCGTGCAATCCATCGTAACCTGGCATATTCTTTTATTCACGTATTTAGCCATATTTAATGGCATTAAATGGCCATTCATTCACTTAATTTGTACAACAGTGATTATACAGAACAGGCTTTTAGGTGATGCATGAATAAGGGTGCGTGTGCTCACTTTTCATGTCAACACACACAAAGCAAATGAAAGATGTTTTCCCTGCAGTGAAAGAAAGGGCCTCTAAAACAACAAGCACATATTAACACTGTTTTTGTACAAAATGACACCGAAGCAATGGGGTCAACGTGACCTCTGATGCGGCCTTACTTAAGATGTGATTACAAAGGTTGATTATGTGTCAAATCTCGGCTTGATTTGTCTTCTCTCTGCAGACATCCAAGAGGAAGAGGGGACACATCAAGAACAAGCTCTCCCTCAAGAAGGGCAAGAAAGTGAGCAAGAAGTCTTTATAGAGCCCCCCCAACCCCCCCCCCACCCCCCCCCCCCCCCACCACCACCAGAGGCACATTGAGAGGAGGAACATCTAAAACCAAACTTTCAACAAAAACAAGCAGCAACAGTAATCCACCAACAAGATGAATGAGGAACACCGTCACCCCAGGCTCCTGATGTTTCCATCAGCTGAGAGAATGTGTTGACCCCCAGCTGACCTTTGACCTGATAAGTGGGGTCAAAGTGCAGAAAATGGGATATTCTACCCACACTGGTTTTAACCTGAGGAACCTTTAACTGGCTTTTCTTTTTGTACTTGAATGTGATGAGACAGAGAGCTGTCCTCATTCCGGGGAGCCTGCAGAAACACACCTCTGTTCTCCCACGGCCCCCACCCAGAGCTGCTCAAAGGGAGGCCCAGCCATCCAAGCAGGAATGGAAGTGTTTGCTCTTGGAAATGGAGTATTCAAATGTTCATAGATATTCTATTTCATGCAAAGGAGAGAAACCCAAATGCACCACCCTGCTTCTTGAGTTTTGCCTTTCGGAGATTGAGTTTGTGCTCAGATGCTTTTGGAAAGTTGAGGTGGTGGAACATATACAGCAGTATGTTTTTATGCGTTTCATTCAAACCAATTATTAATAAGAGTATGCATGTACACATATGTGCCAACATGAAAAGGCCATTACTACTCATACGGCCTCGTCCTGCTGCGCTGTCTTCAGCGTTTCCATCAGGAAAGATAACATCCTTTATATGGCTCCAGATCCACGTGCTCTTACATTTCCCACAATTCAGGCTTGCTGCTTTTAAACTATTATTTGTTCAGACTTTGGAAGCTCCTCCTAGCAACAGAAGACGTCATAATATCTAACAGTCCAAAGCTCATGTTTCTTTCCCTTCAGACCTTTGTTAGTAATGCCCAGAGCTCAGCAATGAGCTAAGTAATACAACCTTACTTTAGATGATAGAAATGACTTCTCAAGCTATGAATCCACTCAACCAGAAAAATCCTTTAAACTGTGTGTGATTGTGAAAGCTGTGTGTTACTGTAATCTGTATCATTCACACACTGAGCTCAGGACAGAGCTCAGTGTCGGACCTTTTTAAGATGCTCTCTGGAGGCCAGCCATGTACCCAGGTTTACATTTGATTGGTTAATGATGATTAATCAAAGACTCAGTCAAATGAACACATCTCAATGTGTAGGCAGGGCATGTTACATCCTTCAATACTACAGCAATGGCATGTCCACAAGAGTGCATGAATGTTGAGATGCGTGGCAGTAGTGTGTGTGTGTGTGTGTGTGTGTGTGCAGTCTGTTAGAATGGTGTTTTCAATGATCACTGGCTGCAGGTTTATAAGGTATATGCAGTAACTACATGTGAGTGTAAACAGATCATTTCAGTCTCTACCACTTTGTGTTGCTAGTAGAATATGCTAGCAGGGGTTCATGTCCTGCCTGCCAGTGTGATCATTAAACACATTTGGAATGAAGCACTCAAATGTCAAACCGCTGGAAATCTATCGGTGCCTAGGAGCATTTCAAACACTATGAATGGAGAGCTCATGTCAACTCCTCGAGCCATACTGTTGTCTGCAGGACTGTCAGTCTGTCACATTCCCTCCATGTCTGTCTTTGATCCACCCCCCTTCCCAGGCGCAGTATCCGCTTCAGACATGCTTCACTAACACTGAGCGTTTCCTCCTGAATCTGGAGAAACAGGCTCTAAAGTGCTCCGAGGTTTCCACACAGACGGTGGACACTCTTATTCTTTGTTATTGGCTGAATGGCCACTGTTTGATCTTTATTTCTGTCATGCAATCAGTTTGACCATTTCTCAGAATAACCAATGAATTTAGATTTGAGTGAGGTTTTTGCCCTATGATTTAATACTTGTTTCTTGAAGACATCACAAGAAGCAAATGACTCCTGCTTGAGCTGATTTTGATTCTGTTGTGGTGTTTTGTCACAAGAACACCGTCTTCAATAAACCCAGGTGGAGAGGATCACATTGACCTGAACAGAAACAAGTCTCTTATTCCCAGAGCTCTAGTCAGTGAGCTTATTTATTTCATGGACGCTGGAGTCAGATGACCGAAGCTGGGCAGCGTCCTGTCAGGAAATGCAAGGATTTGTTCAGCTTTGATTTTCTAAGTCAAGGTTTCTTCCTTCAATTGTAATGTAGATGCAGGTGTGAGAATGAAACATGCCTTTTCAAATAAAGAGGTTGAAATAACTTGGTAATATGTCTTAATTACAATGTGCACAATGCATGTGATGTTATACACAGGGCCGCCCCTCCCTACAGGCCAATCACGCAGGCTGCATGGGGCCCCGCCCAGAGGGCCTCAGCTGCTGTGCGCAGTTCTCCGCCCCTCCCCCGCGAGAGTGAGAGGTGACAAGGGGAGCACGTCTGTAACCCGACACCGTTGCAATGAATCGACATCAGACCAATCATGGCTTTGATACGGCCACTAGTGCAGGTGAAGAGATGTCGGTGAAAAGACAGTTTCAGTCCGGAGCAAGCAAGAGGGGAAGAAACTAGAGCATCACTCGAAGGTGGGTTATTGTGTGAGTCAAATGTACAACTTGAGAATGTTGTATAAGTCAAATTACCAATTGCCATATTAAAACATCAGCTGCAATTCACGACATGAAGAAGGCAGTCTCTGCATAGCATACAGGCTAATGGAGATGTAGTTATTTCCAGCATTCTTTATTTAACATTCATTCAAGTATGTGATGCCTTTTATCTGCTAATGTACAGGAGGAAGAGTGATACACTGTCTGTCTAGTTGGCTTACATAACAGTTAAAGTTTACAGCCTAAAAAAAATGGAGCATTTTTTCCCCTCTTATTAATTTTTATGTCAATTTGCACATTTCATGGTGACGCTCAGCCTCTCCCCTTAACTCCTAACAGTCATCATCATGTCAACCACAACACAGAGAAATACTGATAGAAATGTGTGTGTAGTTGTTGATACATTGCTGACAGAGGGAACTAGAATACAGATTTAAGAAATATCAGTTTTTGAGCATGTCATAAGCATGTTTTGTCTTGACTATATTACAACTATATTATAATAAAAATAATATAGTATTTATATTATTGAATTGATTATGATTATTATTAGTAGAAGTAGTTTATTTGCATTAATTATATTGTAATCTTTTTGAGGTTAGTATTTGGCAGGAAATGCAGACGTATTCACCTGTAAACGCATACTGAACGACATACATGCACATTTACCATTTACCTCACTGTATTACATTACATTTAGCTGACGCTTTTATCCAAAGCGACTTACAATAAGTACATTCGACCAGGAAGACACAACCTTGAAGAAAACGGAATCATATAAGTACATCAGGTTTCATAGAGCCAAACATTTCAAGTGCTACTCAACTGGCTATAGATAAGCCAGTCCTTTATTAGTATATAAGTGCTTTGTTAATAGTTCTATCGCTCGAAGTGGAGTCGAAAGAGATGAGTTTTCAGTCTGCGCCGGAAGGTGTGTAAGCTATCTGCTGTCCTGATGTCAATGGGGAGCTCATTCCACCATTTTGGAGCCAGGATAGCAAACCCACGTGTTTTTGCCGATGGGAACTTGGGTCCCCTTCGCAGCGAGTCGTTTGGCTGATGCAGAGCGTAGTGCACGCGCTGGGGTGTACGGTTTAACCATGTCCTGGATGTAGGAAGGGCCAGATCCATTCGCAGCATGGTACGCAAGTACCAGTGTCTTGAAGTGGATTCTAGCAGTTACCGGAAGCCAGTGAAGGGAGCGGAGGAGCGGAGTGGTGTGGGAGAATTTAGGAAGGTTGAAGACCAGACGAGCCGCTGCATTCTGGATGAGCTGCAGAGGACGGATGGCACATGCAGGTAGACCAGCCAGGAGGGAGTTGCAGTAGTCTAGGCGTGAGATGACGAGAGCCTGGACCAGAACCTGCGTCGCTTTCTGGGTCAGCTGGGGACGTATCCTCCTGATGTTGTAAAGCGTGTATCTGCAGCAGCGGGTTGTAGCAGCGATGTTTGCAGTGAAGGACAGGTTGTTATCTAGGGTCACACCCAGATTCAGTATAGCCAGTATAAAAAAGTAACTGTTGATAATAATAATAAACAGGAATTATATTTGCAAAGTAGCCTACTTTGTTTCCAAAAAAAATGTTTTCACTCCTGTCGGTTAGGGGGGGCCTCATCTCACAATGTCTCTTGGGGCTCCAACTTGGCCAGGGGCGGCCCTGGTTATACAGTATACTCAGGAATCCTGAAGTAAAATTTTAAGACCCTTTCCTTTTAAGACCTCATCGCCACTTTCAGTTCTAACCGGTTACCTTGGTGACACACTTCACCTCACATTGACTATATACAGTATTGATTGTCCTTCCTCCTTATCTTCCAACCATTTGGACGCAGACTTGCATTTCCCCATAACGATGTTGTTTAACAACCGGCGTAAACGGACCTCCGCGCTATCAAGCAGTGAGCGTGCGATGTCCTGTTCAGATGACGTCAAACCCAACGGGATGCCATCAATAAACTACACAGAATCACACTACACACATACGCCATGATTACATTCAGGCAGACTGTAGAATACAACCTCTTTGGACCATTTATATACTTATTGAAAACAAGCTACAAAATGTAACACCTTGGAAAATGCCGTTTAATACTTTTTTTTAATAGCCTTAATTTTTGCTAAATTGATTGATCAACTTTTAATACTTAAGACCCCGCGGACACCCTGATACTAAACTGCATATCTCTCACATGTACACTGAGTTTTCTTTCTACAGTAAACATTTAGAAAGGATGAAGGCACATTGTGAACCATGTTAATGCTTCTTTAGCTTTCAGAACATTAACAATGCTGTCATCTTCTGCTCTTCGTTAAGTGAACACACCACTTCCACAGTGCATCTGTGACCTTCACACACTGAAAACAATGAGCGTACAAAACAGGATGTTTTTATATTTCAAATGTTACTGCCACCATTTTCATAAAAATGCACACAATAAAACAAACACTTTAAAAAAACATACAATTGCATTGACAAGAATGCATGATTTGACTGTTCCAGCTCCTTTGTCGAAGCTAGAATATGTTCAATACATAAATGTATGAACAATTCTACAATGAATTATTTTCCATGCCTTAAACACTTGGACATACAAATACACAGCAGAGGATGAAAAACATCAACAAAAAGATCATATGTAAAAGAAGCAGGTGTTACACCGTCACACGACAAGCAGTTTGAAATGTTCCGACTCCAGTAGAAGGTGGAGATACTGGGACGAGGGGGATGACCTGGTTTCAGGAGGTTCTTTTGAGGTGGAATAGATTTCTTTAAGAACAGGTTATCAAAGGTTTGTCAGTTTGCATTCAACCTCAACAATGACAAAAATGTGTCAATTATTTATTCAAAATGTTCACTCTTGGGATTGACTATTGTTCCGTGTAAAATTAGCATGAAATCTAACAATCAACCTCCTGGTTTTTGAAAGTGGTGTTGCTTGATTTCCATCTATCAGACTTGTTTGCATGAAACGGAAGCAGCTGTTCTGAGGAGCACCTTCAAACAGAAGCACAGCTTTAGCACCTACTGCTGATGTTTGATGAACAACAACACTGGTGATATGCCATGAAAAGTAGCCTACATGTCTGTGAACCATCGGTCTCTTTTTAAATGGGTGTCCATTCATTTCAGTATTCAAATAAACTTCCAAGGATTCAGAACTTTTAAAATGCCTTAATGGGCTTTAGATTTACAAATCACGGAAACCTGAAACTTGTTTAAGGTAGGTCAATAATCAAAAGGTGAACTCTACTTGGCAAAGTCTGTCAGCATTGTGTCGGCTGAATCAAGATGCTCATTCGGATGGAATGGTTATTTAAAGTTAATCTATTTAAAGTGTACTGAAATGAATCAAACTGTCGTCAGTAATATCAAGTATAGACTGTTTGTAGTCAGTGGGCTTAGACATGGAAACATACTAGCTCTGTGCTTCAAACAACTACACATGGACAGGCTGCACTGTTGGGGAACTCCAGGGCAAGTAGCCCCTGTTCCAAATCATCAATATAACGAACAAGTCACCCATACACATTCAAATGTCCCCTTGATGATGATTTCTGTCACATGGCTTCATGACACTCTTTCATCAATACAAGTTAGTTCTCCTCTTCCTCTCCCTCTTCCTCTTCCTCCCCTCCAAATGATAGAAGGCTGTTATTTTTTACTTTCTTTCCAGACTTCACCTCTTTCTTCACTTCCTCCCCCTCCTCCTCCTCCTCTTCTTCATCACTCTTCTTCTTCTTCTTCTTGCTGGAGCTGGCCTTGATGCCCTGGAATTTGTCTGAGGAGGAGCGCTTGGCTGGTTTCTTGAAGAGGATTTTACCATCAGGAGGAGCTGCATCGTCATCTGTGGACAGGACGGATGCATGTGATTCATCAAAACAGTCAGTGGTAGGTCCCTGCTGATGCCTTGGCAAAATACAACACTTGGAGCCTATCGACAGAAATGTCAATAAAACATGGAACTGGACTACATCGTTCCGTTTCTGTCCAGAACAACAAAGAAACCCTTGCTGGTGTTACCTGCAGGACGCAGCTCGTCCTTGATCTTCTTCACGTCCTCTGCGCTCAGGTCCCCCCCCTTCAGAACCACCACCTGAGGGAGCTCGTCCTCCCGGTCACTGCCGCTGTCATCATCCAGGACTGGCATGGTCTGCAACTGAGAGGAAGATAAAACACAGACATGTATCTAATGAGAGAACTAAACCCGTGTGAAATGTTTCGTTCATATCTTTCCAGGCAAAGCGGTGTTCCGAATCAAAGTGAACGTGTTTTGTTAAAATGACAGACAATGATTCAATCAACAGACTGTCACTGAGACCCAATACAAACACTATTCTGGTCAAAAGAAAGCTATTATTTCACTAAAATGTGTTAGCGGTGTGCAGGCTTTGTGTTGCTAGCTTAAACGTAAATACAGGAATACAAACCCCCACGTTATTTACATATTCACCTTGGTTTCAACACTCGGTCCTTCTTTATAACCAACATCCTTCTTAAACTTCTTCAGAAAGGACGGCTCCGCGGGTTTCACCCACGTCACGCCACTGGCCTTGCTTTTGTTCATTGCAAATAAGTTAATACGATCGAAAGACAACAAATGTTTGCAGGCCTAAATCTAAATACACTACGGTTTCACCAAAATCCTGAGTACGTCATTAAGATGGGCCGCTGCAAGTCACGTGCTCTCAGGAGCTACTGCAATTGGGCGACCTTTTCTTCTTCTACTTATTTCTCCGCAGACAAGCCACATTTGAGTGCACTGCTGCCTCCCACCGGAGTGACACGACGTGACACAGGAAGTTGACTGTCAGTGGGCTGTCTCCTCTATAAAGAGTCTGAAGCTGGCCATGGACTCCTGCCGCAGTCAGTCAGATATGATTTCAGGATCTTTTTACGCGGTATTTGCCGGCTTTTTGGCAGCCACTGCCTCTCTGTCCGCCAAGCTGTCCCTCGGTGCCGAGCACCTGAGAGGGATGTGCGTGTCCGGGCTCAGCTGGACTCACATACCCGGAGAGACTGCAGCCTGCGATTGGGTGAGGAGGACCGCTTCAACACAACTCTGGGTCTTTAATACTTTCCGGAAATGTTAGAAGAAATACATGCATATAACTCGAGGGTCATTTTCACTTAGTTTGGGACATGGTACTGTGTAGAATCTAGTGAGTCTAAACGAGTGAAGTTGTTCAGTGTTCAATCTTTTCTACTTGTATTGTGTTGTAACATCTTGTACAACATGCTTTGGCAATACTATGCTTTTGATATGGCCGTGCCAATAAAGTTCCTTTGCATTGTAGAGTCTTTACTGTAAGTGTAACATATTGAATAGGAGGACAATCACAATCATCTATCAATCAATCACACAATGTATTTATCCCGGGAAAATTCGGTTTTGTGACAATTGCTGTATTTAGAATGAAATAAATGAATGATATATTTGTAATATACATAAGAAATGTGTTATTAGAAGTTGTTGTGCAATTAAAATAAATATAATTAGAAGTTAGTTAGTTATTTACTCTAAGAAGTTAGAGTAAAATGTCCAAAACATATTAGATTAAAATAAATAGACCTTTTCTTAACAGTAATGGTAAAAGTTACTTTTAACTATATGCTGCAACTCTATTTTCCTACTATTGATTTATTCTGCTACATCAGCGAAAGCACATACAGATTTGGCCACAAACAGTTGCTCTCAAATAATGAGTCAGGCCACAATGGTACACACACGCACACACACGCGCACACACACACAATGTAACAATCATGCAAGTCTCTACACGGTTTAAAGCTATTGGGTGTAGAGCCTCTATGCTCTTACATTCGCCCTGCTGGCATAACTAAGTGTTGCTGAACTGAAAGGAGCAAGAATAACCTGTGATGTTTCATTTGTAGCATGCAGTTCAATGAACACTCATCAGTGAAGTGAACAAGTAATGCCTTTTATGTGTTTAATAACTAACTGGAACTGTTGTGGGCTAATAGTGCAAGTGGTGCTGGAATTTCTATCAAAGTATGGTGCCACTTAAAACGGTAAGGAGCCAGATGTGAACCCAAGTGAACAGAGAAGAGTTGTCCTCTCTCCTCCTGTGTGCAGCTGCTGCTCCCTCTGCGGCTGCTGTGTGCCGGCCTGCTGCTCTCCTGTAACGCTGTCATGTGGGCCTTCTTCTCCAAGGCTCTCAGACACTGCTCCTCTTCAGCCAGGGCCACGGTCACCACCACTGCGTCCAACTTCATCTCCTCAGTTAGTATTACCCATGATGCATTTTCAAAAGCAATGATCATTTGAAAAGAAAAGAACTTGGCAGCAAATGATTCTGAAGGTGTCCAGTCTCTTGTGTCTGTGTTTCCCAGCGAGTGTCTTCTGTCTGTGTCCAGGCCTTCCTGGGGAGGCTGATCTTTGGAGAGAGTCATGCAGCTCTCTGGTGGGTGGGGATCTCTCTGACTCTGTGTGGCCTGCTGCTGCTGCATGGATCCACGCCTCACACACTCTCACCACAGGAGGTCAAGAAGCACAGCTGATGGAGCTGAGGTCCATGCACACAGACACTGTTCTTCAGTCACAACTACCTGTGACAAGACTGACGAATAATGATGGAAGGACTCAGTGATCATTCATTGTCAAAATGCAACATTCAGTTGTAGTTAAGTGCATTGTGCTACACAAGAAACACATTGACAGAACAGAGCAGCTGAAGAGTGGATTCCTGAAGTGCATTTTTTTATTTGCAACAGAAAGAATTTAGAGAGAAATATCTGTGGGCAGAGCTTAGCACACATGGGCACGCATTCCAATCCCTACTCTGCCTTCTCCGATGTTCATACCTGTATCATGTTGTATGCCAAATGTGCTCCAGGAAAAAGAAGCAAGAAAAGACGAGCAATTTAATCAAAACGATCACAAAGTGAATTGGAGCTACCGGTCGCTGCATCAAGTGTTGCAATTTTCATAATTTCATGTGCTAAATGTTTAAACAGCGGACAGTTGCTCAGAGCTGATGATTCAGTCACCAGTTCAGTGTAGGACGTGCATTGATCTGTTCATGCAGTTGTTTTGAAAAGGAAACGTCATTGCACAGCTTATTTTGATGGGGTTTGAGATCAACTTTCTTACTGACATTGGAATTGATAAGATGGCAAGAATACCAGGAGAGTAGTTTTACAAATCCCTAGTGTGCCTGTGGGAAATGATTCTAAGCACCACAGAGCTAACTTTCAGGACAGCTGCTTCAAAACTTGTTGATTTGCATTTTTGAACAAATAAGTACATCAGAGTCATGGGGACTTTTGCTGAATGTGTTAACGAGATCTTATCTGTATTAAAAATAACATGAATAAAGGATGCCTGCTTTATCTACAAGGTCAGAGGAGGGATCCCTCTCCCAGGATGGACAGACGTGCAATGGACATTGTGTGTAAATTGAAAAGATAATACATTTACAACATAGGTAGTCCAAATGCTTGGAAATGCATGTGTGTGTAATAGGAAGATAAATCCAGGGATGACAAAAGACAAAAGGTACACCCTTCAAGGTGCCATCAAAAACATTCGGAATAGACAACATACAACAACAGAGACACGCAGCATTCATACTAATAACGAAATAAAATGCAGGAATGAATTCACTAGTAGAGTAAATATGTATGTGTGTATAATAAATTGTCCTTAAGCCACGTTTGCACAAGAAACATGAAGAGCATTTTCTTTTCGGGAATGAAATCATTGTTAGAGCGGGGCGAGGGGTGAACTGCACCGAGCTCACATGGAGTTGATTAGATTTCAATAGAAAGATACAAGTGAATGTATTTTTAATATCTTACAGAGTGGGACAGCTGCTCTTGCATATTCTTCCAGCACAGCCGACTAAAAAGAAAACGCAGAACATCAGCACAGCACAGGCCCTGGACCATAGTTGTGTTTCACAAGGAATGTTCCAGTCTACAGTGCATATGTAAGTGTGCAGCATAGACTCAAGACAATAAGTGGATTTGATTTGTTCCTGAAGTCATGCAGGTGCCTGGAGGAACATCTCGTCAAACAGAAGGGACATCACCCCAGGGGCGGTTCTAGGGGGGGGAGGGGCAGTGCCCCCCTAACACTGACCTCTGACCCCCCTAACAATGAAACGTTTTTTTTTTTTTTTTTAAATGTATATTTTCTGGTACTCGGTTTGCCAAAAACCGCAGGATTTTGTTGCTGTAATGTGAGATTGTGCAGACACCCTTATGTAAAGTAGAGATGTAACTGTTCATTGCCTTTATTTCTATATAAATATGGTGTTAGTGCAAACATTGCACTATAACTTAAGCTGAAGCTAACAGTAATAACTATAAGATCTATCTGAAATAAATAAGTGTACTGAAACAAATACTAATAACTGTATTGCATTGTTTTCTTATGCGCAATTACTTCATACTGTCTAGTTCTCTTTTTCGTCCTGCATTTATTGTGCCCCCCCCAGTCAAATTGGTCTAGAACCGCCACTGCATCACCTGCCATATCTTCTTGTTCTGGAGCAACAAGCAGGCCATCAGAAATGACAACGTTGTGATGGACAAACAGCTCATCCTGCCAGCGTCCTTGGCAGCTTTTGAGGGACTCTTCAAACTGCACTTCGTTTTGGGTGTAAGTTATGAGAACCCTTTGAGGAACATGGACACATTCCTTCAGACAACTCTGTACGGATGTGGAATTCACAAAGGAAAGTTCAAAAAGTGAAGGATTACAGAGCGAAAGTAATGAACAGTCCATGGAGTACTGTGAGTGCCACAAGTCGGTGTTTTTCCTTTGGATGCTCGTCACAGAATAACAAACAATGTTTCGTTGCTACATTTGTGGTTCGTCGCATCATGCACCAAGTATGGTAATCCAGCACATAAAGTACTTTTGGTGGATTCTCACGTCAAAAAGATCTTGTGTGTGCCCAGCGGGGATGTTCACTACAGATCAGAAGTTTTGAAGTGTTCACAAAGCATCTAAACAGTTGTCATAGCAACATTAGTATCGGCCCTAGAGGCAATGTTAATAACCCAACAGCACAGAGTTCCCACGAAGATGCTTCCGACATGGACTTGGATGAGATGAATGAATCTAAAGACCTGTGTGACATCATGCATGATATACTGGAAGGTGTCGACAGTATGAAACAAAGTTGATGTTTGAATACTGGAATGAGAATGTCTGGAAAACATACTCCAATGTACTGGCTTCATGGATACAAAGAACCGTCCATCACACATACATCTCTTTCTGGCGTATTGTTGCACATTCGTTGTACATGGGTAGGGCCTACTACATTCTTTACTAACATTGTGTGGATTTATTTGCTACTGTTAATATTATTTCAAAATGTAACTCTTAAAGTATATATTGTAACTCCTCATAGTGTGCTTTTTGACTATTTAGGAGTTTATTGTATGCTAATAGTGTTACTCTGAATGTATATGATTATATATAAACCCTCAGACCCTTAGGGTGCATTCACACCTGCCTTGTATAGTCCGGTTGAATCGAACCCTGGTGCGTTTAGCCGCTTGGTGCGGTTCATTTGGGTCGGTGTGAACGCAGTCCGAGACCTCTTAAGTGAACTAAACAACCGGACTCTGGTCCGCTAAAATAGGTGGTCTCGGAACGTTTGCTTGCGAACTCTGGAGCGGTTCATTGCTGGTGTGAACGCAGTCCGCACCAAAACATAGGAAGCGTAGTATTTACGTGTCACAAGAACACGGATGTCTTCAAAATCTTTAGCGAAAGAGTCTTTCAAGACATCTGCGGTTGTTAATTTAAAGAGTGAAGCAGAATTAAGTGTTGAACAGTGTCGTGTAAAGTAAAAATGCACCGTCAACTACATAAAAGTAAGAACACCCGTCGTCGGTGAAACGCCCTCCTTACTGCAGAACGTCTCTCATTATATGTGTTATAATGTTTTTTAACGGACGTTGTCTGATTATATAATCATATGCGCGTGCCGCTAGTGTCTGTTGATCTCCAGATTAACAGCAGCATAAGAATAACCTGCTGAAAGTGCAGATGCTCCATGGCGGAGGCTCCGGTAGAAATTGCCGGGATTTGCGTTTTTACCCCCTTAATGTCTGACCAATGGTTGAACAGCATTTCCGTGCACATGACTTGTGTTTAAAGTTTATAGTCCGTTTGAGTTTTGCCCGTGTGAACACAAACCGAACCTTCTGAAAAATGAAACAATGTAACAAACTGTGGTCTGGTGCGCACCAGAGAGCGGACTATTAGGTGTGAATGCACCCTGAGTGTCAGCAATAAGTGAATTTGGAACATCGACTAGTACCTAGGGGTACTGGAGGGGTTTCAGTGATACCCACTGCATACGCCTACATACTGTAGAAAGATTAAGGATCACATTTTATTTCCATACAACTAAACATCTTGAAATCAATGAGCCGTGTTGTTTTATGCAGAGAAAATGTAAAACTGTGGCACAAACAAGCAAATAATACAACATCAGTCCACAAGGGATGAGGACAACCAGACGGTCCACACGTACTTTCATTGGGCTTGAATGGGCTTCAGTCATTTTGTTGAACCACTGTCAATAAAAGATGACTAATTTATCGTGTTAGAAAGTTCACACTCATTCCACAGTTTGTGCCTTTCTTTGATGGAGCAATCTTTAATGAATGTGGACTTCAGCCCTCCTCAAGAGGGACTTGCATGTGTTTCTTGGGAGGTGCAGTGGAGACATAACCATATGTTTTGCTGAAGTCAAAATCTCACATCTTAGCTGTACCAGAGTTAGCTTTATGCTAATGTTACGTGTCACATGAAGCAGAACATCTGTTATTATCATATTTAGTACATGATTAGTGACGTAACAGTGTTACATCAGTGCTTCAGCAAAGTGACAAGGCGTAATGTAAGTAAGGCAGCAGCAGCAGGTTTTAGCCTGTGTGTACTTATTACTCTTTAAGGAAAAACAAATTAACTCAGAAAGAACTTGATGACTCAAAGTGAAACTTGCATGGATCAATACCCCGATCAGAAGTAATATTGTAAAATGCCCCATTCTCAATGAAGGGAGACTAACCTTTAAACAACTTAATGCATTTTATTTCAGTGGTTTCACCTCCACTGCAACTGCGTACATGGAACTGAGACAGTACAATACATACATATCATATTGCATATACACATCCCTTTCATTCATTCCTCTGTCTCAGTATATGTGACTTTTTATTCTACACATCTTTACAATGTTTCAACTCATAGTTTTCCTGAACACTGAGCGAAATGTCCACCCTCAGAAGAATCTCACTGTACTTGAGTTTGTGATATTCATGACGCCCATCAGAGCCTGGAGGCGTTTCCTGCTGTCAGCGTCATCAGGTCCTTGTGCATAGAAATGTTTTTACAATTCAAGTCAGCTCTGTGATGCTCTCTCACACACAGGGTGGGGGTGTGTGGAGGCTCTTCAGCCCTGGAAGGCGTGCAGCTCCTCTTCACTGAAGCCCTGCTGCTTCAACAAGCTGAAACACCAACACACAAGAGGGAGAGAGAAGAGGTGACCTCAGGGCTGAGTATCACTGCCATCATTCCTATAGTAATGATAACAATGTATAAACCTTGTATGTTGTGCTGTGAGTTTACACAGGGAAGGTGCCCATGAAATTGACTCTCAGAAAAGTCTTACAAATATAAAACCTACATGGGTTAAAATAATACCAACGGTTTGTAGTTGCAACCAGGCTTGAGGAATAACTGATGACATGTAACGAGATTAATTAATCAGGATACAGAAAAGGTACTGTAACATTTGAAAAATAATGGGGATTACAATGGCATAATACATTTTAAATAAAGTTCAATATATTATAGGAAGAAGCACTTTATGTTTTTGAAATGCATTAGGTGAACACCTGATTTGTTAAATGCATGAATTCAACTGGCAGCAACTGGACATGGAGCAGCATCAGGTTTGACTTACAGTGTGCACCACAGCCTAGCTGTGTGCACAAACTTCCTGTGCAATGTCCAAATACAATGACATCCTGTCTGATCAGGTTATAATGAATTGTGCATGTGTTTGACTCCATCTGACTTAATAATACACACCCTATTGTTATCTCTGTGAAGGCAGTGGGGCCACACACACACACGTAGCATTTGGAGCCCTCCGGCCTGGTAAGGAACTCCTCCAGCATGGACTCCTCCACCCGACCCGTCCTGCCGCTCCAACTGTCACAGGGATCAGAGAGCACGTACTCCACCTGAAACCTGACACACAAACACACACATTCTGAAGGTGTACACACACAAACTGAGGTATAGATGTAGCACAATCATGTTTAAAGATGGAAATCATCGGCATCTCACACTTCTACCTTATTACACATGTGTTGAGAAACATATTGTTATACTAAACCAAGTCTTTCTCTGTTGCCAAGGTCCATAACAAGTACAATACATTTAGCATGTGTTTGTGCACCAGGCAGCACATCATTTATTTCATTGTAGAGCACTGACCAAATTGCACAGACTGCAGCTGCCAAACGTATTTGAATAATAGACCACTGCAGCTGTTGAAGAAGGTTATCCCAGAAAGCTTCGAAACAGAACCCGTTTCTGATTCAAATCCACAGAGAGGGCTTTAAGGTAGAACAAACATTTGAATTTTCCCTCCTGTGAATCGTCTCTTCATCTTCCTTCTAAGAAGTAT